TAACAGATGAAAATACCTCACATATTCACCTCAGACACGATACAAGGATAAAGCTGCCGTTATCTGCTTAACTTCTGCCGGAAGTCGCATGACCAACTTCCGGTGTTCTGTCCGTTCTTCACATAGATATAAACACTAGATGCCTCATTGGCTGCTGCGGCCATAGTTATAAACACTAAATCCCTCATTGGCTGCTGCGGCCATAGATATAAACACTAGATCCCACATTGGCTGCTGCGGCCATAGATATAAACACTAGATCCCACATTGGCTGCTGCGGCGCTGGAACTTCGGCCGCCATCTTGAAACGGTCGTCCTTATTTGGTTAAAGCAGAAGATGTCTCAGCACTTCGCAGTTTATTTCTGTTCTAAATGACGGACTGTTGACGTCAGGTCTCAGTGGATAACTTTTCACAAGTAAGATGAACATATTATTGTTAGTATTTTGTGAATAGAATATTACTGTACTGTATTTATGTCCACCAGCTGATGTGATGTTCATTGTAACACGGTGTTCAGCTGCAATGAAGCTGAATGAGATCTGATGACAGGAATATTTTTCTAACAAGCATACTCACTGTTTCAGTAGCTTTGGTTCATTATCAACAGATCTGCATCAAAACTGGAGTTTTGTTTAAGTTCAAGGATATAAAAAAATAAAACTAGGGAGAATATAGGAAATAGAAAATAAGCTTGACCTCCTTTGTTCAATGTTTTTGTTTAGACACAAATGTCCTGTTTTCATTTTGAAGGTTTCCCAAAGAACAAGATGTGAGGAAGAGGAGGAAGTATCTTTGAGGAGGATTCATCTGAGCAGTGAGGATTTTAAACTGGAGGATTTTGATCAAACTGTCCGACTGAGAGATGGTGTGGTACCATCGGTTCACCTTCAAAGAGTAGGAGCATCATTATAAGTTCATTAGAGTTCATAAAGTTACATATTTTATTGTCAGTCACAAGGTGAGACACCTCCATGTGTTTATATGAACAGGTAACTAGAGACTGTAAAGTTCATATTCATGATGCTTTTTCATTTCAGCTTGTAAACTGCAGGACTACAGGAACTCAACAAAAGCTGGAGCTGCTCTGTCTGTGGCCTCTTAGGAACATGCACGTCACACACACACTCTCAGGAACGTGCACGTCACACACACACTCTCAGGAACGTGCACGTCTCACACACACTCTCAGGAACGTGCACGTCTCACACACACTCTCAGGAACGTGCACGTCACACACACAACTTCAGGAACGTGCACGTCACACACAACCTCAGCCTCATGATGTGAGTATTTCTATTTTAAACTTTTATTTACCTTTATTTATACAGGTAGCATCATTGAGTCACGAGAACTCATTTTCTAGAGAGACCTGTTTAGGAGCAGATGGTGGAGGTTGAGTGCCTTGCTCAGGGGCCCAGAGTGGGGCCAATGAGGGTGGAGGCAGGTGTGGGTGTTTCACCTTTTCCACCTCATTTTGATGTTGACGGTACCGGGAGTTGAACCTGTGACTTTCCCATCACAGGCCCATCTTCTAACCTCTGCGCCACCACTCCCCCACATAACATCATATCATAATGGTCATATTAAAATCTCACTGGTTTCCTTCCAGATGTGTTAAACAGCTACTGGTCCCCCTGATGTTTCCAGGTGGCTGTGGTCAGTGGATGAAAAGCCTGGCATGAACAAGATGATGCTGGAGATCATCATTTGACGAGAGCTCCCACCTTCTAACTGTGAAGAACAAGAGCAGCTCAGTGATTCCCTCAAGGCTCAGTGAAGGTGCTGAGAGCTGCAGAGAGGCTGATCCATGGAGCTTCAACACAGCAACCTCCAAACATGTCCACCCTCACACACATCGTCCATGAAGACACTGGACCAGAGCACAAGATAATAAGACAGTGATAACAACGACAACAATACACATTCACAAATGATTCATACAATTTTAAGGTTTTTGTTTGTTTGTTTGTTTTACAATTGAAAAACAGTTTGTTATCCACTGTTGTCATCACTCTTTGTTATAATCCAGGTCTCTCTTGTAAATGAGTCCTTGTGGCTCAATGGAACTAAACTGTATCAATAAAGGTTGAATGAATATATAGATATACATAATGATTTATTCAACCTTTTATTTATACAGGATGGCTTCATTGAGCCACAAGGACTCATTTACAAGAGACCTGCTCCAGACAGAACATATAAAGTACAGACAAGAATAACAGTAAACAATGGCAATGATAAACTACAGTAAAAATAATAGAGATGAGATATATATATATATATATATATATATATATATATATATATATATATATGTATAATATATAGATCTTAATAAAAATGTGTCAGTGACTGTGAGTTTTGCAAACGTGTCATAAGAATATTTTATTAGTGTTATTGTTAATCCCATCAAGAATATTTAAATACACTGAACCATGTGTTCAGCTTTAATCGCTGTACTCCTAAGATTTACAGAGGAAAAAATCGTGAGAATGAGTTTAGTATTTAGCTATGACTGATTAAACGCGCAGACACTTCATTGCTCCTGAGAAACAGGTTACACTGAGTGGAGCGGTCGACCGTTTCAAGATGGCGGCCCTACAGCTCATCAGCGCCAATAGACGATAGCGGTCAATGCTGTATCTAGTGTTTATATCTATGGTCAGAATTTCATACGCGTAGCACAAACTGACGGCTGTATCTGTCGGATCAGCATAGGATGTCAGATCGCCATATGGACGTAACAGATTACTTTTTCATTCATTCAACCTTTATTTAGACAGGTTAATTCCACTGAGCCTCCGGGACTCAATTACAAGAAAGACCTAATTTTAACAAAGAATGATGACAACAGTGACAACACTGACTGAACACTTGAAATAATATTTATTTTAATAATCATTATTGCCTCCATTAAATAGGTTTTTAACTTAGTGTTAATAAAATGTATATTGTATCTTGGAACAGTCTCCTGCTTACTTGTAAACAAACCCAAGTGTCTTTTCTGTGAATAAATTATGTCCTTGGATGAAAGTCCTATGGTCATGTTGCAGTAAGTTTATAAAATAAAAATAACATCCATACCCAAGCTTGTTACATATTGTTCTAGTGTTATGTAAATAGTTATTTAAAAGTTTTGAATTATTTTAAACATTCTTCAATTAAAACACACTTGAGCAGCATACTGTACTGTTTTTTTATTTTAATTTGTGGATTGATTCAGTTGTAATGAAAGGAAAACAAGTGTAATTTACAATATCAAGTAAAAACAAACAAAAAAACTCAACTATTTAACATTTTAACTGTACATTATAAATTGATAGTGGATTATAGATATTTTTCCCAAATTATGCAATTTCATTTTAAAGAAATTGGCACATTTATGTATTTTTCACGAGTAACAACTATTTACAGTATTTACAGTGATTCACAGCTTGAGACTGAATATTAAAAATGTGAAGGAACAAAAGTGTGATTTGTACATTTTATGATTCTTACTGCGTTGATATAAACACATGGATGAAGGTGTTGAAGTAAAACATGTCAGCAGACTCCTCCACACTTCTTCTGCAACACGGAAACAGCAGTAAGTCTTGGTTGTAGAAGCTGAACCCCTGCAGAACATCTGGACTGCTCCCTGGTTCTGGCCTCTGAGAAGACGTTTCCAGTGACACTTGCAGAGACTGAAGATGTGAAGTGTGGACACAAAACATGTTGGGAAGACTGCAGCCTCAGAGGAAGAGCAGGGAAGTGTGGAGCCATGTGGTCCAGAATGATGCTACGCAGGACTTCTCAGGTGGGCACTGGTAAGACATCTGTGAGCCCTGTGGCACAGGACCACATCTGGATGGTACCAGCTCCAAACTTAGGATGTGCGATAAGTGGTTGGGACTTCAGTATCTCCTGCTGTCACCCAGTGAGATCTAAAACATAACTGTTTTTAGCACATACATATAATACTTGTTATAACATATTTAGCTTTAAACAAGTAATAGATTCTAGTTTGAAGATGAGCTGAAACAGCAGCAGAACAAAACAGACTTTGCTGCTTCCACAAACAGTAACCAGTGAACAGGAAGATGTTACTGTAAGCTCTCGGTACAGAAGTTTTCCATCATATGTCAAAGTTCTTCAGCTGTCATGAATGAACAGGAACTCTAAAGAACATGAGCCAACCGGCTTTCTGACTGTTTCAAACCTGCAGTCTGTGGTTCCTCATTTTTCTTCATGGACCTGAAGCATCTAGCTCTGACAACTACCTGTCCCTCAACAATATTTGACCTGTAGTTATGCAGAAGTAAAGCACAATTTGAACATCAAGCATCATAACATCTCATAACTAACACCTAGTACGTTTTCTTTCACAAATTGTAATGGCAAACACATCTCAGAATGTTAAAATATCATTTAAAAGTTTATACCACGTCTGTCTCAAATACTCCAAATAATTTAGCACACTAAATTAGGCTTTATTACGATGTTTATGTACTTCATATGTTGTAGCTAACGGTTAGCTCGCTAAGCTACGTCTTTTCTTACCTTGATATCTGTGGATATATTCTTCATGGAAGAACTTTTATCCTTTCTCAAGTTTATTGGTTCAAGAATTCACCGCTGTGATTTCCTCCACATCAGTGAAAGAAAAGCCTGGTACTTGCATAGACTCGCGAAAGCCGGAAGTGACCCAGCACCATGATCAACCCACTGGTAAACAACTGCCTGCACTAAGATGCTAAACTGGCGAGTGAGCAACACAGAGGTGTCTCCATCTCCTGCACCTGTGAGCGTTTTCTACCGAAGCAGGAGACTCAGGCCCTGTACACACGTAGCCGGATATCAGGAAAACCGAATAGTTTATCATGCGGTGTGGCCTTTCATCCACACGTGAACTCCGGTTGATGTAACTATAAACGAATAATAACAAAAACTCCGACCAAAGTGGAGATTTGAGAAATCTCCTCTTTCGGGTTTGCGTGTGGACTTTCGGAACCGGAGATATGCGCATTATGTCTGCGACAGATGGTGCAGCGCGGCGCTGACGTCACATGTGCGACAATTGTTTTTGTTTGCCCATTCATTCGGAGGGAAAATGACTGCGTTTAGGGAAGTACTAATTGTAACGCTGGTTCAGGCAATTTTTGCTTGCTTGTTTTTACAAGCAC